TTTACATGAAAATGAATTATAAAAATATCTAGAGTGTATTTTAAACTATTTGACTAGGCCTACCTACGAGTATGTGCATACATGTTCAATTTTTTCTACATTACTGTTTTTAATATAAATTATGCAGGGTGTCCAAAACTTGATAACCTACACGCCCTACCCCCACCCCTCCCCCCGTTAATCATCATCATCCTCCAGTGCCAGATCTTCGACAGACATCGGCGATCATGGTTATCCATTCATTCCTTTGCTAGGATGCTCTAAAAAAAGCTACGTTTCCCTGATCTTTCGCTGTTACCCATTTGTTTAGGTACCCTAAGTATGTTGTTCTGGGCCTGCCCCTGCCTCGCTTGCCTCCTCCGTAAATAGATATATAAATCAGTAAATAAAACAATGAATATTTATGAACGTTATTAATATATTAATGAATGATCGAAAAAAGAAAGAAATAGAGAGATTTGAAAATTAAATATTGAAAATATAAAATAAAAAGTATTTTTTTCACAAAACCTGCTGAGCATACAACAGTCACACAAATATAATTCAACTTCGTAATCGGGCATTGAATTGCTTTCCCCGAATGATTTTTGCTAATTTTGGGTCGCTGATCACGAAAATCTTTTTTGATTTTATTTACTTGAAAAAATATTTAGGACATTTTTGGGCGACAACAAAGAAGCCGCTTTTGCGCCTGACCAGTCCTGTCCTAGTGCGGTATCTGTTTTGACACGCTAACAATCGACGGCCGAAGATGGGACAGGACAGTCCTTTCCGAGACAAGAATGTCGTAGTGAGGTAGTAGCCTCAGGATCTGTGACGAATGCAGACAGCGATAACCTGTAAGAACACATTTTAGTCTAGACGTGTTAGTCTGTTTCCAGAATACATCTGTATTGACCATGACAATTATTGCAAAAGTTACTTGCCACACTCTTGTTACTGTTTTGAAATATTGGGAGCATAGAAACACTACCAACATAATCAAGTAGAAAGATGCACATGCAGTATTACGTCAAAAATGTATTGCCTGTTAACTATTCTGAAGATGACTTATTTCCAAATTCTGGTCACTCAATGCTAGGAAATGGGAATGAGGGCTTTGTCCTGAACCTCAAGTTAGCCTGGAGGTTCTAGTTTAAGCAAAAAAAATCAAAGAAATAAACTAACATTATGGATCATCATCTTCATCATTGTTCAAATCCCGAAGATGAAAAAGGGGAAAATAATTCGTGGAGACTGGAGAATTTCCAATTTTAATCACTGAAAAAGTACAACGTTTCGCCCTAATGGTTTCGTCACAAACATGGGAAAACTAGCAGAGCTCCCTTTCAGTTAAAGGAATGATCGGTGCATTAACATCAACTGAATATCATTGGTCTACTATTATGTACACTCTACTGGAATGGAGCAATAAATCTTGAGAGAAAAGTGACACATGTGTTTCCAATGTACACTCTAGAATTTTAAAGGTGTGTAATGAGTGCGCACTCAATGTGAACGGAAGCCTAACTTGTTCACAATGGCGTTTAAGAAGACGGACTTTCCCAAGATTAGATCTAAACGAAACTATTGAAAAATTGAAAATTAAATTACAGTGACTTCAGACTCCTCAGTAAAACTGTGCACCCTTTAAATGATTCTGAATCACTGTTATTATTTTTTTTTCAAATTCGAAAGTTAAGTGGTTCCGAAGTTTTAGACAGCGAAAGTGACGGACTTTCATTAATATATGTATAGAAAATAATGACGACACAAAATAGTAATGTGCTCACTCACAACATGATGCGCAATGGTGGTGTGTGAGAGAAAAATAATACGATGATCATCATCATCAACAACATCATCATTTTCAAAAAGGCAACAAAAAAAGCGGGGTAGACTGTGTAAATTTGAAAATGTTCAAAAATGTTATATTATGCATCATCATCATGATCTCTTCCACAAAAGCAATACTTTTGTCTGAATGCTGACACTCATTTTACGTAACTTATTTGCCATTAGGGCCTAGATAAGGATACGGGACAACAAAAGAAAAGAAAAGGCTTGAACTCATACAACCAGGAAAAGGGTAGTTCCTTATCTCAACGTTGACTCTTCCACAGAAGCAAAACCTTTGTCTGCATGTTGACCAGAGTGAAATAGCACCTGAACTGGGTGAGTATACGATCGACGGGTCACCATTTTGGACAATAAAAGGTGTTCAGAATTGTGAGCTGCGAAAGGAAAAGGTGGGCATGAGAATACGTGTGTGTGCGTGTGTGGGGTTGGGCGGG